TATATAAATATTTTAAGTTTCAATATCACATATATTAAGAAAACATTGCAATTTAGTAATTGCAGCAGGATATAATTATAACTTATGAGAAGATAATATCCATAGTTAGTGAAGGTATGCGAAACTGAGTACACTTTTGCTTTTCTAGTGGGAACATAAACTCAGTCAATCCTGAGGTAAATTTGGCAACTTACTTCAACAAAGTTTAAGTGTGCAAGATAATTGAAATGATTTATGTTGGCCAGAATTTACTTAGGAGGACTTATCAGTCATGAGCAAAACAATAAATTGTATAAATATGTTGATGCAAGAGTTATTCACAGTGTAAAAATTTAGAAACGTCTGAAATGGCACAAATGAATGATTGGAGTAAGTATACCAATATAGCTTGATGAAAATGGAATGTAATATGGCTGTAAAAAGTTCTATTTGCAAATTATTTAAAGACATTGAAAAATATTCATTACATAAAGTGGGAGGAAAAAGTAAGTTTAAACCAGAATGTGCAGTATTATTCAGGTTTATTTATGTTTGTGTATGTTACATATCAAAATATTAACAGTAGGATTATAATTCTTATTTTTATATTTATGTTTTAATAATGGATAATGAGTAAGCTTACAATAATGAATATATTTTTCTTTTATAATCTGGAAAAAAAGGAGAAAAAGAGTTTCTTATAGAAATTCAGATTTTGGTTTTCCACATGTCACTGAATAGTCTTTCAATAGGTTCCTCTTATCCCCACCTCCTAAATGAAGGGAATCCGTTAGATTCTATCTTTATGCCTCTATTGTTACAGTGTATGTGTCCCTGAAATCTCTTCTGTACTCTCTGTAGCATCTTAATGAATGTCTCCTGGGTCATGATTTCTTCATAACCTACCACCTGCACTACCTGCTGCTGGTTCCCAGGACTTCAGGCTATCAATTCTTAGGGACCTTGTGATATTTCCCAGCATGATTTTCTCAGATTTGCTCCTACTTCTCATTTCTTTAATTCTCTGTTAATGCTGGTATTATTTCTTGTTATCAAAATTATCTTTAACTTTTCCTCCCCCCTTGCTTCTCACACCCACATCTTTCAATTTCTCTTTCTTAATGGGATATATAAACACCTTTACCCCTATCAAATAAGTGGTCTTTTATCATTACATGCACTCAGCCCTGCCTTTTAATCAATATATTCTACCCTGTCCTCACTTTAATCTTCTTGAAATGCTGCTTTGGCAAAAGCATTCCTCAAGCTTTTGTCCTGTCCATATGATGAAGTTTGCACTCATCCTGTCTTATGCCTTAACTCTCATTTCTTATTATTCCAAACCATGCAATCTACTGAAACATAACTTTTCTTGACACTATTCCCTCTTTCAAACTTCTCTCTTTTTTCTCTCCACCTACTCTAAACCTCTTCATTTTTCAGAGTCCAGCTTAAATTCTTTCTGCTCTGGAGGTGATTTGACAAATACCACATGAAGCTTTTTCCTTAAGTTGATGTAGGTAGCTTATTGTAGTTGGGGAAGAATTTATATATCTGCGGAACAATTTATATATCTGTGGAACAATATGGTTTTCTTAAGAAATTAACTTGTTTTTTTTAGCAGGATGACTTTACTGTCCCCTTTGTCTTGTAAACAGCAGTTTATACATATTGTTCTGGCATAAATATTCCTAATGCTCCCGCTCAGTTTTAAAAGTTGGGACGATAAATTACATGGTTATCCTACTTATCCAGTACAAAATACATAGCAACAGTTGCTAGTGGATATATGAGCAAGTGCCTTCTAGCGAACCACACGCTTTGAGCTTAAAAGGGAGTCATCTTAAAGAAAAGAAAGCCTTTCTAAATCTTGTACTGGAAAGTAATTAAGCTGTAGTATTCCTTAAGCTCTGTACATTCTGGATGACTTTTAAAAGCAGTTTTGGTATATTGAATATAGTTGTTTATTTTATTTTATTTTAAAGATTTTATTTATTTGTTAGAGAGAGCGTGGGCGAGAGAGTGAGCAAGGGAACAAGCAGGTGGAGCTGCAGGCAGAGGGAGAAGCAAGCTCCCTGCTGAGCAAGGAGCCTGATGAGGGACTCGATCCCAGGGCACTGGGATCATGACCTGAGCGGAAGGCAGACGCTTAACCGACTGAGCCACCCAGGTGCCCCTTGAATATAGTTGTTTAGATTGGAGATGATGGAAAACATCTATTACTGGCAAACGGTAAAAACAGTTATTTTCTTTTATACCTCTTTGTGCCCCCACTTCCCGTCTTTTGATGACATGAGATTGTGCATGACAATAAGTTTCTGAGGAAATTACTTAATACTCTTAGGTCAGAGGACCCCAGACTACTCCTAAGTTTGGTGATTTGCTAGGAGGACTCACTACTATGATTAATTACAGAAAAGATACAAAGAAAAATCAGCAGAAGTGCATAGAATGAAAACTGGGGGAAAGCAGGCACAAACCTCCAAGAGTCCTCTCCCAGCGGAGACAGATAGAATATGCTTAATTCCCCCAGCCATAAGTTGTGACAACACATGTAAAATGTTGTCTATTAGAAGCTCACTATAGACCGAGTGCCCACAGTTTTTATAGGGGGCTGGTCACATAAGTACTCTCTGCTTGTCATATCCTTAAATTCCAGACTCCCAGAAGGAAAACAGGCATTCAGAATAAATCATATTGTTGGCACGATTTAGGCACAGTGAGCTACTCTTACCTGTTAGGGTGGTAGGTACCCTCCTGAAATCCACATTCCCAGATGCCAGCAAGGACCAGCCTTGTAAACAGGCCTTTCAGTTGAGCATTCATGACTGCTGTGCTTAACTCTTTTCACAGCTTTGTTGACCACAAATAGCCATCTTATGCTGTAAAAGTGTCTCAACATTTTAGTTTGTTCCTATGTGCTTGTCTATACAATCACTGTCATTATTTTTTAAAGTAAAGAAAAGCTTCAGAGGTAACTCGTGGCATAGAATGTTATCTTTGAGATTGAAATATTCTCACATCCTTTACACCCAGTGTTGTACTGGAGCTTTCTTTTGGAGAGCTGATTTTCTAACTTCCACATTCAGTGATACTAGGTTTGTGGTTTGGAACTGGCTATTTTGGGAATATTTACACCACAGAAACCAGCATATACTGCAAATCAGGCATTCCCACCAGAGACCCAGTTGTTAAACATTGATTAGCATACCACCACGATACCTCCTTACCATTCATTCTGTAAATACTGTGTTCTTCTAAACAGTGATAAGAAGAAAGTATAACGATTTATATGGAATGCTGATTTTGTTGGTATATATATCCTAAACTATTTTCTAGGAGCTGAGAAGCTTCCGGTACAAATTTTTCTACCTGATTTATATTTTCTTTTGTATATTAGTTTGGAAATTTGGAATTCTCAACTTTAAAAATCTCTAATGAGGTGCTAATAATATTGGGTTATTTTTATTTGTATAAATAAATTTATAGTAAATAAATAATTATTACTAAAGGTGTTTCAAATGAAATTTTAATATGCTATGATGTTCAAGCCAGCAAACCTAATTTTATCCTCTTTAAAGATTTTATATGTGAAATTATCATTGTAAAATGGCTCCAAAGCATTTTCTATTCCCAAATTATTGTTGGTGGATACTTAGTACTCCATAGAGCCCATTCTTTTCTTTTCATCTGCTTTTAGTAACCTCAGATGGCAGTGAAGAGTACAAAACTGAGAAAGAAAAGTAAAATCATGATTCTCTACTAAATCAAGATCGGTTTTATTTATTTATTTATTTATTTAAGTTAATCACCATACATTACATCATTTGTTTTTGATGTAGCGTTCCATGATTCATTGTTTGTTCATAACACTTAGTGCTCCATGCAGAACGTGCCCCTCTTTGATACCCATCACCAGGCTAACCCATCCCCCTACCCCCTCCCCACTAGAACCCTCAGTTTGTTTTTCAGAGCCCATCATCTCTCATGGTTCGTCACCCCCTCCGATTTACTCCCCTTAATTCTTCCCTTCCTGCTATCCTTTTTTTTTTTCTTAACATATATTGCATTATTTGTTTCAGAGGTACAGGTCTGTGATTCAACAGTCTTGCACAATTCACAGCGCTCACCATAGCACATACCTTCCCCAGTGTCTATCACCCAGCCACCCCATCCCTCCCACCCCCCACCACTCCAGCAACATCAGTTTTAAAGAGGACATCAGAAGATGATAGTGGGCATGGAGGAGAGGCAACATCAAAAAAAAGAGGGGTAGAGTTATCTCAATAACACTTTCCCACACTTTATCCATAGAACCTTATTGCAGTTATGCATAATAAATGTGCATAACATTGATAGAACATGATTCATAGGCTAGAACCATTGAATTTTTTTTTTTTTTGGTTCTGCTACCGATATTCTCTAAGACTTCACCTAATGATGAGACTCTACTGAATAGTTTCAAATGATTCTCCTTCAGTTAAAATTCAAATTTGTTACAAAGTATCCAAGATTTTTTAAAGTGTGGTGCCAACCTTGCTTTGCCCTCTTGTCCTCTACTTTTTTACTCTGTAGCCAAACTCTGTCAGTGTCTTTCATGCCTCTTTACTTTTTCATGGGAGTGACTGTTTTTTTATCTTTCACTATTTACTGCCAGTTGTTCATCTTAGGATTCAACACATACCACCACCATTTTCTTCCTGAATTTAGTTTCTTTTTCTTTGATCCCATAGATTTCCATATATTTATATGCCTTCTTTATATTTTTTATGGTGAATGTTGTATGCTTACTCTCCCTCCCATCTTCACACTCCATATCATATAAACTCTGGTGAGCAAGGACTGTGTTTTCCTCATCTCTGTATATTCAAAACATAATAATAATTGCTATATTAAAACTTTTTGTAGAACTTAATTTTTAATAAAGATTTTGGAGTAGAACAGGATTTGAGTCCTTTCTCTACATTCAACCCATCAATAATTACTCCTTGTGTCATGAGTTGCCTTTTTTTTACTCTTAGGCAGATACACAGATTGACCGAGAACATCAGAATTTTTATGAAGCATCACTAGAATATGTCTTTAAAATTCAAGAGGTTCAAGAAAAAAAGAAGTTTGAATTTGTTGAGCCGGTAAGTTTCAGTTTCCTTACAAAATAGTAGTTACAACACATCCTATGAAAACTAAATTTGTAATGTTTTTCTGTTGAAGATTGTGATTTTTTTAAAAACAAAAGGGAAGGAAAGTGTAGAGGAGGGTAAATAGGTAGAGTATAGGACACTATTAGGGCAGTGGACCTATCCTATATGACACTGTAATAGTGAATACATTTGTCAAAACTACAGAATGTACAATGAAAAGGGTAAACCCTAATGTACAATATGGAGGTTAGTTAATAATGTATCAATATTAGGTTATCATTTGTAACAAATGGTACCCCACTAATGCAAGATGTTAATAATGGGGGAAATTGTGTGTGGTGGAGATTGGAGGATTATATATGAGAGCCCTTTATATCTTCTATTCAATATTTATGTAAACCTAAAAATGCTCTTAAAAATAGTTTATGAATGGAAAAATTAAAAAAAATTAAAAGGGTTTACATTATATATACCTAAGTAAATACAGCTCACCACTAAAGCAACCCATTTCTTTAGGTGAAAGGAGAAAACATAAGGTTATATTTCTCCCTTTGTTTCCTTACACTTTTTTGCAAGGCTGGGATCTGCCTGACTTCCCTATGAAGTCATTTATTTTCTTAAGTTAGTGTAAAAAGTAATGGATTCCCTAATGTAAATTGCATTACAGGAGAGAGCAGGTGGCTGGTCTTTATAAGCTTTCTTCATTTTCTTAGCATTTTTCCCCAAGTACTACTATAATAAGTTACAGTATTGCCTGAGTAGGCATCTTCATAATGCATCATCTGTGATGAATCAAAGTAAGTCTATAAGTCAAGATAATCTTTTGTTAATATATAATGTTCAGTTCCCATGAGATGAAAAGATAACAATAGTTAAATACATAGATAATCTAAAAGATGATTTAATCCATATTTTTCTATGTCAGTTGTTAAAAAATCTGTTTATAATAAGAAATAAAATACCTGTTTCTATTTTATTTTTTTTTATTTTTTTAAAGATTTTATTCAGTTATTTGACAGAGAGAGACATAGCGAGAGAGGGAACACAAGCAGGGGGCATAGGAGAGGGAGAAGCGGGCTTCCCCATGGAGCAGGGAGCCCGATGTGGGGCTCAATCCCAGGACCCTGGGATCATGATGTGAGCTGAAGGAAGACGCTTAACGACTGAGCCACCCAGGCGCCCCTACCTATTTCTATTTTAGTGGAGATGTTGGGGAGAAGGAAAAAGAAGACACGTTTTAATATATATTTGATGAAATTCATTTCTTGATGGAAACCCATCAATGATTCCCTAAGAATGGTGGGAAACAGGCAGACTGGGAAGAGTTCTAGTCCCTGCCTGGCTCCCAGCCACTTCTGCTTCACTTCTCCCTCCAGCTGAAGCAACCTGACTCTTTCCTATAAACTGGGCACTTGGCAAGTCTAACGCTTCAGCTAGACAAATTTAAGGAACTGGAGACCACAATGCAGGCTCAGGGATTTAATTTTTACCTTTTATTTGGGATAACAGTCTTAACTACAAGTTCTGTTTGTCAAACAGCTAAGCCCTTAAATTCCTTAGAATGAGTTAATAGCCTCTTAGTTAGTTGATGTTTGGGGATCTCATTAAATTTTATATGAGTTAGGGGGTCTTCTGAAACTTATCTGTGGCTCATTGAGAACTAGGCACCCCTAACAACCCCCAGTCTAGGAAGATGACCAGTACTTAAAATTCCTTTCCCCTTCTCATTGACGAAGTCCTGCCTCTGAATCCTACCGTGGTTTTTTGAAGCCTCTCTACTTGCTGACAAACTTCCTCCTTAGGACCTGTTTCTTAGGATTTCTGAATTTTCGCTCTTCTTGACACTAAACTTGTGGTGTATGCCCATTATATCTGATGGTATTTTTTCATACTTCTTTCTTACCTGCTCCCATTCCTTTCAGATACTATGTTCATCTGCTATGTTGTTTTTCTTCCTTGCACCTGGAATGACCCTTTCACACCTGTAATACCACCCCTCTCTCTCTCTCTCCCATGGGGAATGACAGGTCTGGAGAGGGACATGTAGGTAGTCTATTATACCCTGTTAATGCCTCTTTGATAGTGTATCCTGTCTGGGAACAGTGAACTAGACCGTTCTGTCAGATGACATCATATATATAAGGAGAAAACTGTAAAATTGTTTGCTTACAGGTGACTGATGGAACGATAAGAATTTGTGAATTCCTTTGGTAATACATGTAGAGAGGTGGAAACTGTGCTTCATTTGTAATGTGTTTTCTTCCTTCCCTCTACCATATCCCAAACTGGGATGGTCTGATAAATCTTCTGTAATACATGCCTTTTTTGTGACATCACAATCAAAACTGATGTTAAATCTGTCCTTCTTCCAAAATATTTTCTTGGCTGCTATATTTTTCTTACTGGAATGTCTGGCCAAACCAAAATAGTGCTATCAGTTTAGTCTTGTTCTCATTTCTAGCCACACAGCTTCATCCACGGGGTTCTATTTAATTTCCTTTGCAGTAATGAGAAGAATGGGAATGGAAACAATGAAACATGGCCATGCTGCTCTTTAGGTTATATATTTACAAATTAATTTTGAGTAATTTTTTTTTAATTTCAAAAACAAAGTTCCCAGGAGCTATAAACATAAAAAAAATTAGGAAAACTTTAATGTTTTTACCCTTTTGTTCTACAGAAAATCTAATTCCTGTTGCATTATTGTTTCATATTGCAGAAATCTAGCAGTCTAGTTTTGGCCCATATTTATTTAACAAATAAATATTAGAGTAAAGCAAAATGCCCCAAGGATGGGATCTATCTTCTATCGATTGTAAGATATAGAGTAGAATAGAAACTATAAGTAGGGAATGATAGTTGGCACTAAATATCCTAAAGTAAGAATGTTGATATATTTGAGATAATTTTACATTGTTTCAATTAATGTCAAGATCTTACTACTTGCCTTAAAATTTCTACAGAATATTCAGGAGGTACAATAGTACACCTATCTTATCCATAGGTATATGTTCCAAGAGGGGATGCCTGAAACCAACTTGTCCTGCCCCTATATATACTGTGTTTTTTTTCTGTACATACATACGTACCTATGATAAAGTTTAATTTATAACAGGCACGGTAAAAGATTAACAGTAATAACTAGTAATAAAATGATTATAATAATATACTGTGATAAAAGTTATATGAATGTGGTCTCTCTCTCAAAATATCTTACTGTACTCACCCTTGTGATGTGAGATGATAAAATACCTATATGACGAGATGAAGTGAGGTGAATAATGTAGGCATTATCAATACATTGTTATTGTTAGGCTGCTGTTGGCCTAATATGTCAGAAGGAAGATGATCTGCTTTCACATCGTGGTTGACTGTGGGTAACTGAACCACAGAAAGCAAAACCTTGGGTAAGAGGATATTACTATATTAGAAATAAATATTCCTACAGTGTCATTTCACGGAAAAGCCAGTTCTCATACATAGAAGAATGGGGGACATTTGTATTTTTTTTATAAAACTATATAATTGTTTTTAAAAGATACAGAAAATCAGCTTTTTTAAACTCAGTTCTCCATTAGATATATAATTTTAATGGCCTTCCCCCCATTGATCAGATCTTATATAAAAAGTGATTGTAGTTAACTGATCTCTAGACCTTCACTATCCAGTATGATAGCAGTTACCCACGTATGGCTATTGAGCACTCAAAATGATAGTCTAGATTAAGATGGGCTGTAAATGTAAAACACATACTAGATTGCAAGGTTTTGGTACAAAAAACTATGTCAAATATCTCAAAACCTTTTTTATATTGCTTAAAGACTGAAATGGTAATATTTTAGATAAATCATGTTAAGTAAAATGTTAAATTTCACTTGCTTTAATTTTTTTTTATGTGTCTCCTAGAAAATTTAAAATTTCACATTGGTTTGCATTTATTCACATTAGATTTCTGTCAAACAGTGCTAGACTTCATCCTTTCAGATTTGCCAACAAGGTATATGAGTTCAGGTCTAGAATGGGAGGAAAAGATCAGAGAGGGAAAAACTCCCATCTCCTGACTCTTGATCCGGTGACTTCTCACAGTTGCTTGGAGCTTATGAGAATTTTGAGAGGTTAGAAGAAAAAGCTTCATGAACAGCTTACCTAAGAGAGTTGAGCCCTGTGTATTTGAAATATATTATGGTACATGAAAGTTTGTGGCTCAGAACCAGAGAAAGTTTTTATGGCTTAACTCCCTCACGGTTCATTCAGCTGCAGTTTGTGTATCTTTAGATTACATCCTTTTGCATACTTAGCTGGAACTAATGTTTTGTGAGCAACCACTGTGTCATGTGTTTTCTCTGTGTTATCTCACATGGCCCATTTGCTTTATTATTAGGTAGTTGTTATTTGTCCAGATGAGGAAGTTAAGTCACAGGAAGATTGTTAGTTGCTTGAGATCACAAACGTAAGGAGAGGGAGACCCAGGAATCCAGACCCCAAAGCTGAAGTCCTGTATAGTACCGTGTACTGTCTCAGTGGCCACCTGATTATAACAATTAGTCCTTCCTTGATACTTGCTCTGACCAAATAAAATGGATGACTACAGAAAATTGTATTGTAAAGTTATTTTAATTCCTTAAAATTAGAAGAAAATATGAGGTTGACCTTTATTTTGGTAAAGGTGCTTGAATCAGTGCACCTATCTGTCCGTTTATTCATTCTTCCATCCTTTTTTTAATCATCCTTTTTAAAAAATTGTCCCCTCCCCACCCAGGCTGCAGTTGACATACCACATTTTGTGTAGTGACAGACAAGTATAATGCCTGAGAGGTAGTAAGATAGAATTTGGCTCTAGTCTTATAGCTGTGCAAATCTGGCTTGGTTTTCAAACTCTGTGTGCCTTAGGTTTTTATCTGTAAATTGGGAGAAAAAATTGTAGTTCCCAGGATTGTGGTGAGGCTCATCCAATGCACGTAACACACAGCAAGTGCCTGGTGCATCATTAG